TAAAGAGTTTGATGATGAAATCGTTGCTAGAGCTTTCCCGGTAGTTATTCCAACGCTCATCGATGCCCCGTGATTTCGCGTTTAATTGTGAAGCGTTTAACCCAGCATCGGCCCGCGGCGACAGGCAACGCCGGAGCAATGCTCCGGGAGTCGGAGTGTGCAGTCATTAAATTATTCCGGAATATGAGCCCGATGGGTGTCCCCGATCGGTCCAACTCTAAAACGGCCCGTGTTCGACAGAAGAATCGGCCGGTACATCTGACGCGATCTATACAACTCTCTTGCACGTGTTAGACGTTGCACCAATCTTGTTTCGCGTTCGTCTCGGCGACACCTATTTTCTTTATATCCCGAGTGACCGTACTCGAGAACTAACGAGCTTGCTCGAAACTAGTTTCAAACGAAAGGAAAAAAGGGGGATCTGCTTTATTAAACATCGACTGATTGATTTATAGCAACGAACACGTTGGGAAGTAAATGAGATAGACACGTCGAATGAATAACTTTTCGTAAATAATTTCATTTTTATGATAAATTTATATTATATATAGGATGCGCGTTACAAAAAAAGATCAGAGTTAGATAATATATCTAATTAAAAAGTTTGAAGTTAAATGATAAAGTTAAAAAGTTAATATATTTAGTTATTTTCAAATAAGCGTTAACTTTCAACTTCGACTCATAATTATTTTAAACGTATTAACTTTTAATTTTTATCTAATATTAAAAGTTATTTTTCCTCCTCTTTAGGCACTAATATTTCTTTTTCAATACAATTTTTAATATTAAATATTATTAGACAATTGGTTTTCGTGACTATCATGTGACTTTGTTACTTTAAATAGAAAAAAAACGTTTTTTCTAATTATGAATATTTACAAGCAAAATTAAATGACAAAAATCTTTTAATAATACTTCAATTAAAATTTAAGAATTATAACATGTTTTTTACATTATGCAAAATTGTAATTTACTTATATTATTGTTATAAATAATTTAAAAAAAAAAATTATTCTGTATTATTTTATGTAAACTTTATTTGCAAGTAAACTATTAAATTTATGTTTTATATTACAATTTATTTTTAATTTTAACCATTTGTAGTAAAATTAGTTATACATTATAATAATTATAATTATTTTAAATTAATTTAAATAATGTTTCTAAAAATCAATTTTTAATTTAAGTTAATTTTATGTTTGTAATTTATAACTATGTTAGTTTTCTTACATACAGTTTTATTACAGTTAAAAAAAATCAGCTTTTATTAAAATCATCGGAATGTACATTTGATAACTATTCATGACTTTTATTAAATCAACAACAAAACGTTTTCATAAAAACATCTGGTAAATTTTGCTATTGTACCCTTTACCATAAAAATGAAATTATTTACGAAAAATTATTTATTCGACGTGTTTCCCTCATTTATTTCCTAGTGCGTTCGTTAAGTATAAATGAATCAGTCAATGATGTTTAATAAAGCAAATCCCCCTTTTTTCCTTTCGTCTCAAACTATTTTCGAGCAATGACCTCATTAACGGAAAAATCCAAGAGAAATGCTTGTTTCATAATATAAATCGCAATTCTTCGTTTGCTCGAGCTTTTCATTCAAGAAGACTGACGTCGCATCTATATGCCTAATCAATAATAGCTTCGATTCAAACATTTCAGAGAATATCAGCATTAATCAACGGTGCACTTTCGATCGGGTGCATATCTCATTGTGGCACGTGCAGAATCTCGAGGTACTCCCCGCGGCAGGTGGCCGAGCTCTCGGTTCTCGAACTAGGAATATGACGCGAATCAGTGACTCCGAAAAACGATCCTTCAGTACGCGGCATGGCACGGCGAGAGGGGTGAGCGAGCGTGTCGGCAAACAAAATCGGTCGGTGGAACGCCATCGGCGGCTGCAAGCCTGCAGCGGCCGGTAGTAGCGTCCAGGTTACTCTTCTCTTCGTGGCCAATGCGCACACACGTCGTCCCCGCGGGCTGAATGAAACGCAAAAACGTCAGCAGCAAGATCCTCGAATGATTTTTCGAACGCTCAACGAGCCCGCGAGCCGTCCCGCCGCATGAAACTGTTCCGCCCCGCCGTTTGTTCTGTACGCCGTTTGGTCCGAATCGAATCGAACGTTTCCCCGATAAATAACGTCGCATTTTCGGCAAAAAGGCTTTTGCGCATCGCGTTCGCCGCTGGCAACGATGCGGAAAAAGCGCGCGTCAGACATGTTAGATCTGTCCAATTGTTGCCTCCTCCTCTGCCGATACCTCTTTTACCACATTGGAAATTGCACTCGTTAGTAGTACACTCGATTATCGATATTTCATGGAAAACCATCGGCGGCTATAATTACCAATACAAGGGAGAAATTCCCCTCTCCCCCTTCGGCAACGTTCCACTATCGAACAGAAATTATAATCGAATAATTATAATTAACGAAATATAACCATTCTCGACGCGATTTCCATACTTTGTTCCACACAATAACTACAAAGTATCATATTGTTATACTTTGAATAGACTGATTTTATCATTGGGAAATAATGCATTGTCGCATTTATTATTACAATGGTCTCCATTGCTCTACTTAACTTGCGTCAAATATTACAAAGTTTGAAAGATATCGACGCGCGAAGCATTGTCTCCATCGATCTTCTTTCGCTATTAATCTCAATTTATTGTATATTAACTGCTGTTTATTGTACATACATTACTGCGGCTAATTACCGCACAGCAGTTACCCTTTGACTCGATTAATAACAACGAATGCGCCCAACGATACTCAGCCACGTGCTGTGCCGCGTTTCCAAATTTGTTCTACGGGAGTTTACGGGGTCGCCAACCGGTCCATCGAGCGAAGAGAAGCAAAAAAGGAGAAGAACCGGGATGAGGAAGGGAGGAAGGGAGGGTTCGTGAGAGGGAGACAGAAGAGGGCGATTCGTACCATTTGGCTCGACTTCGACATCGGTTAACGCAGCGGGGTTACCGCGGACGCCTCGACGGACACATTGAGGGCGCCCGCTCGACTTGATAATCGCTTGCCATTCATACACTTTTCATTGGATTGCGATTGAGCATTAAGAAACCAGAAGACCCGGGGGCTACGTCGCGTATCGCGCCCGAGCGACGTATTAGCATTAGGAGGCATCATCTCGAGTGTAAACACTGCATGGGCACCGCGGATTTAGTCACAGTCGAGAACCACGGGACGTCCCCGATATTATCGTCCCTTTTCACGTTTTTTACCTTGGCAACGTCCCTCCGCTGCACCCCAGTCGATACCTACGTCGTAAACGCGACGGAGATCCATTAACCTCCTTAGGACCGCTTTTTTTTTTTTTTTTTTAATTCGAAACGGTTTCGATCTAATGCAGTTTTGCTAGGATTTAAATTTTAAATAAGACGAGATAATTTTTAACTTCTTTGTATTAGATCTCTAGTATGTCAAATATGTATACAAATGAAATATAATATATCTTTAGGAGACGAACATTGACATAATTTATAAGAATTATTCCGACGTTTACTTCATTGTGAAGAATACCAAGATATTTTTTGGGCAAGAAAGCTCTTTCAATAAATAAAAGTGTAAGAGATAAGGAATGTAATAAGAAAAAATTTTATTTTGCAATCAAGGTACGTTATTAGACAGTATTTTTTAAAATAATCTTTTATAAATAATCATTGTCAGATTTATTAGACATTTCAACATAAATTCAATATGAAATCAATAAAATTATAATTTTTGTAACACAACGTACACATGTCTTACGTTACAAGAAGCAAGACATAAAATAAAATACACACATAAAAAAATTGTAAGTGAGTTACATCTCGCGCATTAGCTTTTCACGAGCAATCTGCGCGTTAATACGCCCGACGGATTCTGTTCTATATACATCCCTAGAACGAGATCGACCCAAAGACATCGACGAAAGAAATATCTGAAGGGAGGATCTGTCGGAACGTTGCTGACACAAGAAAGTTTCGTCTCCGAGGGGCGAGGAGAAGAAAGCGGTTTGTCGTTGGCCTTAACCGCGAGGATTCATGGTTAAAGCCCACAAGCGACGGACGTCGTCCATGATCCCCTTTATCCAATCCGTGAGGATCCGCGGGGCGTTAAATCCCTCACGGGGAAGCTCCGTAACTGAGCTCTCGCGTTCGCGCGCGCTAAGTCGGTCAGCTCGGTCCAGCCGAGCGAGAGGATCACAATACCGGCGCCGACCGCGGCCGGGCACATCCATTCCTGGCTCGCGCGTTCTCCCCGTGAAAATTAGTTGCGCGAGAAATCCATGCTAATGTCGGCTAATCGGCTGTAATCAGCCGTGAGAGCCGACGGCTGTCACGAGTCGACGTGCCGTGGAAGATCGCGACGAGAGAGGGAGATCTTTTCCTCGGGCGTCAGCGATTGCGACAGACTGACGCACAATAATATCAAGCGGATTCGTATTGAAAACGATTGTATTTCCATAATTCAAACGGCTTATTTCTGCGCGGACTGACAAGTCAAAATGTAAGTAGATCTTCGAAGTTATTTCTAAAGTGCAACTCTGTTGACGCACAACTCTATATATCTGTTGATGCGATTTATAAAATTGATAAACCAGATTTTATAACGTTTTAAACATATAAACTTTATTGATTTAAATCACATTATTGGTATATGTATTCACAATGATATTAAGTTTTCACTTTATCTATTAATATGATCAGAAAATTTGAAGAAATACAAAAAAAATATTATACTGTCTGCCATGCAAATAGATATAATTTGTAATAAAAGTATATCATTATATATAATAAAAATACATGATTGTAATGAAAAAATATAGAGTATAATCACAAATTCGTAAATAATTGTAAAATTTCTAAAACGTGTAAGATTCAATAACTATATATAGAAAGTTTTCAGAATAATTAAAACGTTTATTGATATTATTCATAACTGTATCACAAATATTTAAATTGCTTTTATTATGATGTTCCTATAATTTAGGAATGAACAAGAAGCTGAAGGACAACCGAGCAAATCTACAACTCAAGAAGAAGCTTACAATCCTCACTTGAATCGTGTTACTTATAGACCAGTGTCGTATGTTTATTTTTTTCAAACTATTTATTTAATTTGCTAATTTTAACGTGCTAATACTTATTAGCATATTGAATGCTGGATTTAATTTGTTTGCCAAGTACAAGATTAAAAGAAAAGTACAAGATTAACCTTCATAATATTCTTTTAAATATATTAAAAAATAATAAGTAGATAATTATTTGATTGTGCAATTCAATTTAAAAAATTATGAGGATAGAAGAATTAATTATTTTAAAACCATAATTAAAATTTAGGAAGAACTTAAATAGAAAAGAATCATCAATATGTATAATCATATAAAAACAATTTTTTTTTAATTATTCAAATATATTGATTTACATATATTGTATATTTTAATTCTGTTTTTCAAAGCATCTTTATTATTACAATTATTGCATAACTCTTTTCTTTTTTTGCAGAGACTTTGGATCTCTCGCAAACTTGATAAAAAGCGCAGCCGGAACGGGTCTTTTTGCTATGCCGAACGCATTCGCCTGTGTCGGGCTCTTCTTCGGGATTGTCGGTACGGCATTTATGGGATTGCTGATAACCGGATCCCTTCAGTTGCTCGTTAGAATTCACCATATGATGTGCGTTCGTCTGAGAAAACCCATCTTGGTATATGACGAGGTGGTAGTCGCCACTTTAACTACGGATGTGCGAAGACCGTGGCTCTCTCCGCGCGCTGCAACGTTCGTAATTTCAGTAATCGCGTTATTTCACGTTGGATACTTTTTTACTCTGTAAATTTCTTGGAGTGAAATTCAAAAGAGTTAAAATACCATTATTATATTTAAAAAAAAGATGAAAAATTTGCATTCTGACAAATTTTCACTTCTTTTTGGAGTAACATTCACTCCAAAAAAAGTGAGATTTCTTTCTTTTGGATTTTATTCCAAAGAGAGTGAGAATCTGTCATTTTTATTCAAGAGTGCAAATTTTTCACTCTTTTTTTAATGCTAGTATTAATAGTAATATTTTAACTCTTTTGAAGTAAGATTTTACTCCACGAAAAGAGAATAGAATATGATAAAACGCATTTTACAATATCAAAGCAATACTTGACATTAAAATGCGACAATCATAAATATAATTAAGTATAATGCAAATACGTGGTATTTTATGATATTTTACTACGAATAAATAATTACTAAATATATACCAAGAAATAATAATAATGCTCATTTCTATATCAATGTAAAATAATTTTAATCTCGATTCAACTTACTCTTCACTTTTTACTAGTTCTAAAAACATAGTAAAAAAAGACTAAAAAGAAAATGATGAAGTTAGTTAAACCGACATTAAAATTAAATTGCATTGATAAAAACGGGTATAAATTTATTTAAACATAAAAAACAGGGCGGTTTGAACTTTCATTCGTTTGTAGACTCATCGTCGATATCACTATGTTAGCATGCTACATTGGGATTGGTTCAGTTTACGTTGTATTCATTTCTGGCATAATCCAAGAATGTGTAGATAGCGAAAAAGTCATCGGTCAAAGCTACTACGCGCTCATGATATTTCCACTTCTTTTTGTAATGAACATGGCAAAAAATTTGGCGGACATCGCACCGATTTCTATTGTCGGGAACATTTTACTCTTAGCCGCTGGACTTATCGGAGTCGTATACGCTTTGAAAGATGGAATTGGCGACGAGTGGACCACAATTGGGCCGAACATAGACTTATATCCGAAGTTTATCGGCGTAGTTTTCTTCAGTATGTGTTCGCCGGGAGTGGTGAGTCTTCAATCAATCAAATTTTAATTTCAATCTTTTATAAATAGTTAATTTTAATGCTTTTTATAGAATTGTTCGTAAGTTTTCATTTAGGTTGGGAAGATATCTAAGTTGTTTTTTATTTATGTTGCTTATTTATTATAAAAATTGAGAACAAAAATATAAAATTGGAGAAAGTGATAAAATATAATATAAACAAATGAAATAGTCGAACTTATTGAACTCAATTTTTATTATACAATAAAAAATAACTTATAAGTAACTTAAAGTAACTTTCCCAACTAGTAACATGCATTTCATAGTGACATTTCAAATTGAAATATCTTCAGATATTGGCGATAGAACATAGTATGAAAAAACCTTGGAATTATGTTAAACTTTGTGGAATATTGAACTGGGGCATGGCATTTTTGGTTATAATACACATTTTCGTTGGATCTATTGGTTATTTGAAGTGGGGACCCGCTGCGCTTGGCAATTTTATTCGTAATCATGAGACGCTCGACGGGTAATATAACAAGTGTGATTCCATTAACTATAAAGACTATGATGCTAATAGATATGCAACTTTTACCTCATATAACAGATATATTAACCTATCTGACTGAATGACTGTTTTTAAAAAGAGATAGGAGATTTACACAAATTCATAAATTATGAATTTGAAGGACAAATTTGCAAATTTATTTGAGAGAAATGAATACAAACAGATTTATGGTGTTATTTATTACTATGTTTTGTATTATGTAAGAAAAATTAATTTGTAATACAGAATTTATTGAAATTGAAAGGGTGTTTTTATCAAAAACACGCTCAAAAATTTCAAATTTTAATATATTATTATAAATGTATGGTAAATAACAGAAACCATTTGTATTTTTAATAAATTTAATATTACAAATTTATTTTCTACATTAAATATAACAATATATAAATAATAATAAACGATAAAATTGCATTTGTTTATTTTTTCCCTTGAAATATATTTAATTAAAAAATTAACTAATTTTACCTCAAATTTAATTATCGTTAAGCTTTAAAGATATTATAGAAAAGTAGTAGATTTAAATATCGAGAATTAAAAATTTGCGAAAAAAGATTATAGATAAATATTTTTATAGAAAAAGGTGTTTGTTAATGTATGCAATTACAAAATCCATGATTTAAAAAAATATTTCTAAAGTATAAGTATTAATACATATCTTACCGTTTCATTGATCATTTAGACCAACATTAGCGGCTCTGATAATGCAAGCGCTGGCAATATACTTCACATATGGGTTGCAGTGTTTCATGCCTATTGGAATTCTGAAGTACGGCTACGCCATACCGGCCATTGAAGACGGCACCTGCAAAGGAACACCGTTCCTCTGGGATCTGATCATTCGTTTCGGCATCACCATCATTACGTGTAAATGATAATTTCTTCTTAAACCTCTTTTGCGCATTGTTTTACTCTCTCGTTAGCTTACAAGGTAAACTCGGCCAAGCTCGATGGACCGCGATGGATTGAATCTCCCTCCCTCTCTTTATCGCGAAGCGACCAACTTTGTAGGATCGATCAATTTGTCCGATTACGATCCGCTTTGGACCTAGATATTACTAAAGTTCAGGAATCCACTTTCGCGGAATTTGATGTAGATGCTCAATTTTGTCGAAGTTTCGTTTGACCGGAATCACTCCGGAGTTACTACAATGTTATTAACTGTGTTACTCGCTTTAATTTGCTCTAATTACGCTAATCGATACGCGCGTCGTTATTACTCTGCGAACGGAAATTTTCCGAGATAAAGTGTGATCTTTGTATTCTGCAGGTATTCTGGCAGCAGCGATTCCGAAGCTCGATCTGTTCACCGGTTTGGTCGGCGGTATATGTATATCCACATTGGCCACACTGATCCCGGTTACCTTATACATTCTCGTACATCACGAGGACTTCGGGAAGTTTAAATGGAGACTGATTCTGGGGATCTCGATGTTTTCCATCGCTTTTATTGCGGCCGTGTGTGCCGTAACGACTAATTTGATCTTAATCGTGAAATATTTTAAATATGGGTGAGCAGGCATCTTCATTATATAAATATTAGGAATTAAAATATTAAAAAATAAGAAATTAAATATCAATACTTTATAAATGTAAAATCTTACAATTTGATTTTAAATTTGACGCTTACAGTCCGGAATTTAAGAAGAGTTTAGATATGAGAAATTGCATTACACGATCTTGTTTTTAAACCGTTTCTTTGATCAAACGAAATTAATTATGTTTAAAAATAATTCAAGCAAATTTGGAGGCTTAATTACTAAAATAGTTTTTGTAGTCGTCGAATGAAGGTTTCGAGCGCGTCCGGAATCTTGATTATGAATACGGTCGGAATATATTCGTATTTATAATACGTCAACACAAAGAACGACGAGATGACAAACTTTTTTATTCTTTTCAGGGATTGAAGCCGGAGCGATGGGGGTGTTATCTTAATCTAGTCTCTGTTCGTAGTCCACAGCCCGATGCAAATACCGTCGGCGCGCCTCGTAGCGTTTTCCATTTTTGTCTTCGGGCGCAGCTCTCTAAAGCCGCCACCGTTTACGCGCGATTCAGCCTAATCACGGCAGCTGCGGCGGTGACAGCGACGACGACGGCGGCGGCTGGAAAAACCGCGAAAAAGGCGTGAAGCTCGTGAGGGACAAAAAGCGAGGAGAGCCAGAAAAAAGGAGAGAGAAAAGAGAGAATACGACGAGAGAAGCGCGCGACGTATAATCGCGTCAGATCACCGAGGCGTCAATGGCTGCTGCTGCTGCTGCTGCTGGGCTTATCACGCACACACACATGGGCCACACAGTGATAGAGAAGGAGAGGGAGGAAGAGGCAGAAATATGTGGAAACTGGTAGACACGTATCGACACGACGAATATACGGTTGTGTGGGTGCATACGAGGGCCAGGGGGACGACGTTGCGCAAACGGCGAGTGAGAGAGAGAAAGAGAGAGAGGGTGGGGGGGGGAGGACAAGGGCGCTTTCTTTCTCTCTCTATCCATAGGAAAAGGAACCAAAGGGGAGGCGGCGGCGCAGCGGCGCGGTGGTGGCGGCGGTGGTGGCGGCGGTGGTGGCGGCGGCGCGAAGAGAGCCTCAACGGGACACGGAAGGGTGCTTTCATCACATAGAGGACACAACCCCTTTTAGTAGCCACCGTCACTACTCTCCCCCACGTCCTAACCTACAATGTCCCCCGTTACTCTTCGGGGGCTGTCCTCTCTTTCTCTCTCAGATTCGCTCTTACAGACTCCCTATGCCTAGCCGCTCATCCGTTTGCCAGTTCAAGGTGGCTGCGTTCATTACCGGAGGATACACCGGGTGTGGTGTGGGACTCCACCGAACCCGTCGTCGGCTTTCCTCGCCGTACTTCCCTCGCCGGTCAGCCCCCCCGAGAGAAAACGTTGCGTTTAATAATTATATCGATGAGTTGCCAAGGACGTCGCACCGCTCAGGGTGTATTGCGTGAAAGCGCCAATTGCGAATGCTAAATTTATCGAAAAAAAATTTGAAACATCCCAAGAGAGAAATATTCTAAAAATTACGTAGTATTTTGCGATATATTCACAAATTATACGAACTAGATTGTTTTATATTGTAAATGTGCATATGCTTAATATTATAATATTGAAAATATATAATAGATTTTTTATATATACATACTTGTATATGTAAAATATATTTGAAACGTCATCTGAAATTTTTATTAGAAATTAGATTTCAAAATTTTAAATATAAGATATTTACATTAAAAATAATAATTAATAAATAATAGAAATAATAAATACATTAAATAATAAATATGTTTATTTTGTCACAATTGATAATAAGTGGTTTCAAAAATTGTTTCCAACAACGACTTGGCTTAGAAAGGTATATTTCTTAGAAAGATATCAATCATAAAGTCGTCGAAGAATGTACTTTTAAAATATTATTCGGTCATTTAGGAACAGTCAACGTATATATTTGTATAAACTGCTACACCTGTTGAAATGTGTAAAAACTATTGCGAAAGCACGTGGAAATATCAGAGCAAAATTGAACACGTGCGCGTTCCCTTTCATAAATAAGTAATGACCGACCAACCGAGAGATTGTTACTGAGATTTTCCTTTCTAATTGGAACGAAACGAAGTCCCCGCATGGAATGGCGGAGATTAACCGACCGCAAGAGCGCACGTGCACTTAAACAGCCGCTAATTGCTAAACCGAGAGAGGCGGGATCGCCGTTAAGCGCCTCATTCCGAGTTTCCCCGTTTTGCTAACAGGGAAAGTATATTTTTTACAAAAGCAGATAATTATTAACCCCCTCATTATCAGAGGGAGGATGTTAGAGTACATTCTGGTATTAAAAGACTAATATAAAACTTTATCTACATGAAAAAAAAGACATACAAAAAAGTGACATAGTTACACAAGAATTTTTTTATTGCAACATATTTAATAAGATCTTTCTACAAATTGATAACAGCAAAAGAAAAATTTAATACTTCAAGACGCAACTTTTTACAATAAATAGGAATTTCCAAATATTTTTGAGAAATTTCAATATTAACTGGTATAAGATCCGTAAATTCTATTTTTATTAAAAAGTTATTTTTTATTAATTTTCCTCTATTTCTTCTCTTCTAAATATAGCTATATATTTATAGTGAAATATTGTTTTTAGAATGTATTCATGGTTGCAGATTCATATATATAAATAACAAGAACTTTATATCTTAAATTTTGAAATAAGATTTTGTACAGAGAAATGTCAGTATTGATTAATATAAGATTTTGTAAGTTCTTTATATAAAAATTATTTATTCCCTTTTATATTTTTAAAGAAATATTGTTTCTTTCAATGTATTTGCGATTATATAATTATAATTAATATATGTAATGAAAATTTTATATTTCAAGACGTGATTTTATGCACAGAAATATCAATATTTACATAAGATTTATAGATTTTTTATTTATTTAATGTTATTTATCTTTCTCTTTCATAAAGAAATCTCGTTTCTAGAACGTATTCATGGTTGCTTACTGCAAATACATGCGAATAGCCAAGTATCTGCATATCTTCGAAGGCAGAGCGCGCACCTTCGCAGATATTCCGTAGCGACGATGACGTTGGCAAGTTCACGATACTTCGCGGAAACTAACACGACGAATAGAGTAGGAGGAAGCCGCGTAGGAAGCGAAACGGTCGAAGGAGGCGGATGGTAAGACAGGATAAGCAGATATTAACCGAGTTTACGGTGGCGGGGAGCGAGGGAAGGAGGAAAAGGACACTGCGTAGCAACCAGAAGGGTTTGCTCGCGGCTTTCCTTCCGCCGATTTCCTCCACACTCTCGTGTTGCGAGGCTAAGATGGTGAAGAGGAACGCGCGCCTTAGCCGTCGTCGTCGTTTCTCGCCGTCGGAAACAGGGAACCGGGCTTCTCTTATCTCGAGTCTGCAAGACTGCCTCCGGTAATACCGTGCGCCGCTAGAAACCCTTACGAGCGACGAGAACCCCGTGAAATATCGCTAAACGGCTTGGTACCCCTTTCCCACCCACCTCTTCCACTTCGATCTTCCACGAGCGATGATCATCCACTCCCGCCTTTTCGAACACTTTACGCCGACGACCACCCCTCCGCACGTGTACCGTAACCCCCTTCTATGGGAGGATGATATTCACTCTCACCCGCGGCGAGATAACACATATTGCGTCGATGACAATAGACGTCACGTGACTGTCAACTATCACCTCTCGTTCAGTGACAGGTGAACATCGCAGTAATTGCAATCGGTAAGTCCATCATTATCATAAGTGTAGAAAGTTATATATTCTCTTATGAGAAAGATTCTGCTTTTGTCCTCTTTTATATTTCGAGATTTATAATTCGTTAATATTTAATTTTTCCGCAATATAATTTTATAATTAGATTTAATTATTTATGATTTTGTATATACTAAAATATATTTTGTTTTGTTTCTTAACCTCTTTAAATCCTTAATTTTAATCTTTTAGCGCTATATATAGTTGTCGATTATATCTTCACGAATCTTAAGCTTTCTGGAATTTGATTTAGGTACTGACACGAGCATCTTCGCGGGACACGAAAATGGATAACAAGAAAACGTCGAGGAAACGAACGAGCGCGCTTCATTATACGCGACGCCGACACGCTTCGTTTGTCCCCGGAAGTTGTGCTTCAGGAGGGGTGACGTCGACACGAGGGCCGAGAAGGAGGGCGAGATGCGAGGAAGAGGTAGAATAGAAGGGAGAGTGAGGTGTAAATGGGATGCCGGGGCGGAGGGGACGGCTTGAATTAATACAATCACGCGGGGGTGGCTCACCACTCGCAGTCCGTGGTAAAGAGGGTGAGAAGCAACGAGAGATAACCACCCCTTTGCTTGTCATCGAAATTATACGCTGCCAACACTCGACCTCGTTTACCATGCCGACTTTCTCTCCTTTTCTTTTACACGATCCATATTTTGCTCATGCTTCGTCTTTCCTTGCTAGATACTTATATATCAAATTTTTGACAGCTAAAAATACTTGTAGACACATCAAGACGTCTGGAAATTAGAAGCCAAATGCGTCAATAACAAACATGCTTAACAACATGATCAGTGAAGTTTCAATATTATAAATTTTTGTTTTTAATTTTTTGGACTCTTAATTAGTTATCGCGGCTGTATTGGAATCGTAACGTCGTAAGTAAAAAATAATACGTTGAATTTGTAAATAAAAGAATTTGGGTACAATTCAGTATTTAATAATATTGGCTTAAAATATTTATAAAAAAATAAGCAAAAGCTATCGTTACTTCCCTGACAGTCAGTATAAAATAGTCGTAAAAGCATGTGAAGTGAAAAAGCAAAATCTATTTTTTTTTCATGTGCCTTTTATGATTATTTACTGACAGAGAAATATAGCTTCTGATGCAATTTCTTTATCACACCATCATAGCTTCATTTTTATAAGTATTTTAAAATAATCTTATTATTATGTTTTAGTTAAATTTTCTTTACAAATGGCTTACCTGTACAAAAAACTTCAACGTGTCATTTTTCGTTTATGATGTTATGATTTCAACATAACAGCAGTGACTAGGCGGGAATTTTAAAACTTTGATTTTGTGAGTTTTAATTATTTATAGGACAAATTTTTAAATTATATAAAATTTTAATTTTTATTCAATTTTAATTTATATTTTTAGTAAATTTTTAATTTTCGTTTAAAGACTTTATTTTAAATCTGAAAAGATTTAGTTTTCCTTTATTTATTATATCTTGAGACTTTGAATAAATATTTAAGTAAAAAACAGTCTATTAGATTGTTTGTAATAAAAAAATTTGATAGAATAATTTTATTCAGACAGATATCAGTTTTTAAAAATTGATATTTTGTGTTCTGTAAATTTCCCTGTAATATACAAGTACAATACATTTACTTATAAGATCTCCGGACCTGTATTTCATTACTATTGGGAAAACGATGTGACTTGGCGTGTACCATCGGGGCATCAAAAATGATCGCGCTCACCTTGCGGAAACCGAGCGAGTGCGAAAGAAACATTTTGTTCCCCGTGGGAGAGCGCGCGGAATCGGATGACGGGGGTTTTTAATAAAATCAGGCGCCCGCCGAGGCATGTCAAATGGAAATATGCACGTTTGGCCGAGAGATTTTGCGGGCGGGGTGAGGCCTGCTGCGTTTGTAAAACGGGGGTGCGACTCGATAACGATGGAATTCATCTATCCATTCATCCATCCTGCCGCGCGGAGGTGGGTACATCCTACGGCGCGGAGAAAGCGACGGAAAGAAAATTTTTTTTCTCCCTTCATTTCTTTCCGCT